TTTTTACGAAACCGACCAACTTTGGTCGGTTTTCTTTGGCGCAAAAATGCGGGAAACTATTTTTGAGTCCCGCGAAATTTATGTTTCAAGAAACCGACCAACTTTGGTCGGTTTTTCAATTAAAATAAATAAAAATTAATATTAAAAAAATGACCAAAATTGGTCGGTTAATTCGGCGGGTCATTTAAAAAAACCGACCAACTTTGGTCGGTTATTTTCGTGTAAAAATATAATTAAACAGTATAAATCAAATAAAAGACAGTCTTAAAATAAAATGTACCAATGGTCTAGTGGTAGAATAGTATCCTGCCACAGTACAGACCCCGGTTCAATTCCCAGATGGTGAATCTTTTTATTACATAATTAAAATACCGACCAACTTTGGTCGATTTTTTTTTGCAATATTTTTTTTTTTGAATTTAAGTGACGCACTAAAGTTGGTCGGTAATTTCCGACCAACTTTGGTCGGTATTCCTTTCCGACCACAAAAATTCCGCCCACACGCAAATGGTCGCGTTTTGGTCGGTTTTTTGCCATTAGCGACCAACGTTGGTCGGTTTTTACCGGATTTCTAGTAGTGTATCAGGCCCCTTTCACATTTATCATTGACAACACAAAATATCTGGAAAATGCATATTTCAGTGACAATTTTGGAATAGTATTAGTTAAGGATACAGTATTTGTTTTGGTCTTATCGATAAATTTGAAACATAATGTAGCGGTTTCATCAACCTAAAATTCCATGTTTTTTATTTACAAGAGGACTCTCTGTATTTGAGTCAAGTCGAGCCGGCTTTTATTCAATTAAATTATTAAAATAAATAATTACAATGAGATTTTAATTCAGAAGAGATTAGTTAAAATGTATAAAAAAAATTATCTTTGGATAGCCAAAAACGATATTTTGTATTGAATTTCATAACTTCAGAAGGACAATTTGTATTTGAATTTCATAAGTAACTTCAGTTACAGTGTTTAAACTGTTTAATTGCAGTTCATGTGACCATAATTAGGTTTAAATTACAAGTTATTGAAATTTTATTAGATTAAATAAGTAAGAAGTACAAGCAATGTTTTAAAAGAGTTGGGAAACTTCCAAGCAGTCCAACGTACATAAACTTATGTATTTTGCAATTCCCCCTCGTTGACTCTCAGTATTTGGCAGATAAACAAGGAATACATTTTGTTATACTTATTTCAGATAATATTTGTATTTTTTCAGTTTCCTCAACCAAAAAAAAAAAAAAAAAAAAAAAAAAAAAAAAAGAGTTACACGTGGAACTGGACATTACCCCAAGGCAAAGAGGGTAAAGCGTTATGAATTTCTTGTAACATTTTAAGAATAAAAAGATATAATATAAAAATAAATAAAAAAGAAAGATGGAAAATCATTTTAATTCTTTTTTAAAGCCATGTAACATAATATATAATATCAAAGGATGAAGATCAAATTTGTTCCTATACAAAATTGAACAACTTTGTCCTCCTTTAAGCTTTTGGTCTAATATTACTTTGCCCTTGTCTTTTAATGGAGTTCCAACCGAAGAATAATTTTGAAATATAGTTAAAGTTGAGAAATAAATTTGGATAACTTCTTGAAAATTTTGGATATGTGAAGTCTACAATTTTATATTGAAGCTCGTTAGCAAGAGTAAATACGAAATGATTTACTTTTGTTGGCTTTTTTTATTGGGTGTGAATGAGAAATGAAAGAGGCACATCTTGGCTTGCACCTCTTCATCTCACCCTTTTATTGTCTATAAATTTAGAGACTTGGCCTCATTTTTACACATGGAAAATCTGAAATTTTCTTTTCTCCTTTCTAAATTATTACATTGTTTTTCCATATAAACAAAGTGTCAAGTGTGATTTGCTCCGTTTGTTGAGTTCACTGAAGTTCTGTAATTTCAATTGTCAGTATTACAGAGTAGTTTTTCCGTTCTATCCTGGGAGGAAGTAATTCATAACCTTTGTGAAGGGATTAAATTTCTTAAAGACACACAAGCAACTTGTGAGCTCGAAAATTATTAATGTTCTGTTATACTGAACTAGCATTTCTTTTCTTCTCTGATTTTCTAGTATCGAACACAGGTTTTCAACAACTTTTACTAAGGCAAAGAGCCAATTTGGATGAGCTTGTTTTAAGTGACTTTTAAGCCAAAAGTCATAAGTTAGGAATTCTAACTTTTGGCTTTTGGCTCATTTTTGTTATTTTAGCTTAAAAACAAGTGCTTAAAAATACTTTTTTACTTTATTCAAACACTACAAAATGGCTTAAAAGCTATTTTAGCTTAAAAGCACTTAAAATAAGTCAATCCAAACGGGACCAAAGTGTGAATGGACCAAAAGTGTAACATGTGACAAAATTATAACAATTTTGAATAATAGGCGAATTTGGATATTTTCCTGAATTTTAAATGCACCAATTAATTAATCTTCTTAGAGAGCAACAGTAACAGTACTAGTACTAGTTCAAATGTTCAATAAGGTTTAAGAAAAAATGGAACTGGGCTAATAGTAAATTATGTATGTTTTAGAGGACTAAAACAGCAAATTGTTGGAAGACTTAAACCTTAGTCAAAAATCCTTAAACGACAGGCTTAAACTACAACTCTCCTGCAATTTTGTCACACACACACACACTGTGTTAAGATGGAGAAGGCAACAGTAAAGAAGAAGAAGCAAGTGCTTCTATACTACTGTGTTGAAATGGAAGATGTTGCTCGCAAAATCGCTTCTGAATCCGACTCCATTATTCTCCACTCTATTAACTGGAGGTTCGATTTTACTCTCATATGCCTTTGTATCAGCTTGCTATATACGCAAATTATACATCTTTACTTCAATTTCGAGTAAAAAGTTTTTAGTGTGTCGAGTCGAATGGTAAAATTGAATCAAGATTCCTCCTTTTATTGTTAGTAGCTTTGTTTCGAATCATGTATTTGTCTTGAGAAATTTCATTGAATAGGTACAAATTATTAATTTTGAATCCAGTAACTTAAAAAGATTTAGAATCCCGAACCCATAAGCTTTAAATTCTGGCTCCGACTCTGGTTCTACTGTGAAATGGGTGAACTCCGCGTATTAAAACACTTTGAGGAAAAAAGTCCGAATTTATCCTCTATGGTTTAAAATTACCTCTCTGTTGTGCTTCACCTTGGAGCTCCGGTAGTGGTCAACGGAAAAACGAGACTATTTCCTAATAGCCAAGGTAAGATTAGACCCAAAGTATAAGGAGAGCAAAGTTGCTAAATTTCAGATGTAATATGGGCTAATTTAACCTTTTTCCTATAATGGTGTAATGACCTAAATCAATCACTATACTATACCTCAATCTGAAATGTATTGCTTCAGCTATGTTGAATTCTCAATGTCGATTTTGCTTTTCATTCACAGGATTGATCATTGTTTGAAAATTATTGTATGATGAACATTAACCTGCCACAACCCTCTTCATTTATCTTGGTTTTAGACTGGCTATCATTTGTTAAACTAGACGGACGTTTGAGGAATGACATAGCAAGACCTAAATTTTGGCTGAGGGTAGTAAAAGATGTTTGTTTTAAAAAAAAAAAAAAGAAGAATCAGGCAAAGGAAAAGGATTATATAACATCACTTTTGCATTGGTTAGTGGTTACACAGAAGTTCAAGTTTTCAGTTCCTGCATATTCTGTAATAGGCCAATAATCAAACCTTCAACTGGCAACTTGTATGCGGAAGCATTTGACTAGTTGATGTAGTTATTAACCTTGATACGATGCTATGTACTATAGTATAGGGGCGAAACGCATTATCTACCAAGTTTCGAACCCTACACCAGCAGGCCCTCAGGATTTCTCGGTTATTAGAAACCTAAATTTCGTCGAGGTATAGTGGTAAAAAGAGACGAATGTTTTAAACAATAACCGGGGCAAAGGAAAAGTGTGCGTTATTTTTGCATTGGTTACACAGTAATTCAATTATTTAGTTCCTGCCTATTTTGTAAACAATCTTCTATTGGCAATTTGTATGCTAGAGGATTTGACTTGGTATACTAATTACCTTGAAATGATGCTATTACTTGTACTATAGTTGACCCTTTACTGGGACAAACACTAACCAATATGAATTTCATGTTCCAGGAGTTTCGCTGATGGTTTCCCAAATCTCTTTATAAACAACGCACATGATATCCGTGGGCAGCATGTTGCTTTTCTAGCATCTTTCAGCTCACCAGCAGTCATCTTTGAACAGCTTTCTGTGATATTCGCACTTCCAAAGCTGTTTGTCGCCTCATTTACACTTGTGTTACCTTTCTTCCCAACTGGTACCTTTGAGAGGATGGAAGAAGAAGGAGATGTGGCCACTGCATTTACAATGGCCAGATTAATATCAAATATTCCAATATCAAGGGGTGGTCCGACCAGCTTAGTTATCTATGACATACATGCATTGCAGGTTAATTTATTTCATCATGTAATTGTATGCCATTTGGACATTTTGTATTCACATTGCGCTCTTATTTGATGTGATGTTCAAAGATTTTATCTAAGATTCTTCAATTTAATTGATAATTGGACTACGCGATCATTCAGAAGCATCAATTTATACACATCCTATTTTGGCTTTTAGGTTATGCTTTTTATGGTTTTGCCAGAAATGTCAATAGTTATACTGAAAGCGCAGAAAATCTCACCTTTCTAATGTTGATTATAACTTTATTTTCGTTGTTATTACGAACATTACTGGCCAACAATATTTCATCTATATCACCAGTGTTATGTTTATCTTGCGAAGTGTATCCTTTTATGTGATATAGGCGCTCTAAAGATTTTCAAGATATCCACGTCCATCTCTGTTGAACGTACTTCTCTCTTTTCTGCAGGAGAGGTTCTATTTTGGAGATAATGTGCTGCCTCTGTTTGAGACTGGAATTCCGCTGCTGAAGCAACGGCTTCAGCAGCTTCCTGAGTCTGAAAAAGTGGGCACGAGTTCTTCTGAGCTATTTTGTCCTTGTTTTTCCAATAAAATTACCTTGAGATGTAGCAATGATGTTTTAATGTCTTTCCATTTTCCAGATAGTTATAGCCTTTCCTGATGATGGAGCTTGGAAGAGGTTTCACAACCAATTAGTTGACTATCCCACTGTTAGTTAAAAATGACATTTTTCTAATTTGGTTTCTGTATGTTTACCCAATCTTGAACTTTTTTGTAATCAGCAGATTTTTTTATTTAGGTTATCTGCACTAAAGTGCGTGAAGGTGATAAGAGAATCGTCAGGCTAAAAGAGGGTAATCCTGACGGCTGTCATGTGGTCATTGTTGATGACTTGGTCCAGTCTGGAGGTACCCTAATCGAATGCCAGGTACTCCTTCCTCTTAGATCTGATAAGGGTTTTAGTATCTGTGTTAAAGAGTACTTAAATATGTCACTCACCGGTATGTGACAATTATTTGAAACTTTAATGTCTCTTGTTTCGTAAAAAGGCTCTGTGCTTGGTTGGTTGCGTAATCATTCTGATTGATCTGTGTCATTTATTTACCTTCATTCCTTCATAAGTGAGGAGATTCTGGGGATTTATATATTAAATTGTGTGATCATCTCATCTAAAAACTTAAGCTATTAGAAAGAGCATGCTTTAATTTATAATTACATTCTCAATGCGTCCCCTCACATGTGGGCCTGATTTTTTTCATGGGCCAAGCACGGGAAATTCTTTTTGATAACGGGTAGTAGTGAAACTCGAACCCAGGACCTCTAACTTGGCTCTGATACCATGTTGAATTGTGTGACCATCTCATCTAAAAGGTAAAGCTATTAGAGAGAGCACACATTTATATACTTAATTACGTTCTCAACATTATACCTTCTCAAAAAGAGATCCAGAGAGTTTATATTTTGTGTAGTTATTAACTCTTAGTATTTGTTTTTCTCCTTTCCTTTGTTGGTGTGATAGCACACGGATACTTTTGAACCCCAAACAAGATGATTTCTTCACATGAACAAGATCAAGGGAAACGGGCAGATTTATGGGCAATACACATGGCCGACAAAGATTCACACAACAAAACAAGAATAAACTACCAAGAATACCACGTGGTCAGAAAGGTAAAGAAAGAACAAGAACCAGTAGGGTTTCTTAAGATATTAAGAAATAAAGAAACCTGATTACCTCAAAGTAAATCGCTCACTTGAATGGATAATCTGTAAAGTTCTTACGAGAACCACTAAGGTTTCTTAAGCCTCACATGGGAGAATATATTTTAATCATCCTAAACTGATTGTTTACACTTAAAACCAGTTGTTATATCTATAATAAAAGACAACCCTAGAATCTTTCCAGAAATGCCCCATGCTTAACTCTAAAAATCAGCAAAGAAGACATTAAAAATGGCCTAAATAGGCAAAAGAACGTGTGGCAAACATGTACAAGTCCTACACACCTAAGTGACTGGACTAAGTCCCATATTCACTCCAAATCAGTGACGTTGCATTCTTGAATTTTCCTCAAGCGGAGCTACTTTTGAAGGCCTTGAAGCTTCTCTTTAAGTGAAACTTTGTTATGAGCATCTTGGCACTTCATGTGTTGATTCTTGACTTTTTTATGCCTCATGGCTCCCGCAAATACCATTGAACTCCTCACATCAGCCCTCCATGTTTACCCAAGAATTTCAAGGCATCCTTCTAACTCTAGCTTTTGGCATGCGTTATCTTTTTGTTGGATCCTTTGACGTGCTATCATGGTGTCTTCTCTTTTCAGTTAAAATTTTACCATATTTTGGTAATATTCCTTTCTTTGGCTTAAAAGTTTTAACTGATCCATGATCTGCCAACGTGTCATTTTTTGCCACAAGTGGCTTAGAAGAGACATAAGGTTATTACCCTCAACAGTTCTGGACTGTAATTGTGGTACAGAACAATTACGGGATGAGGTAAACTTAAGGATCCCAGCAATGCACGTCAAACTAGATTTTTGAAAAAACCCCAAATGGAAGGGAAAGGAGAAAGGAAGTTAGAGAGTGCACAATAAGAATCATTCACTTCGAAACTAATACTAGCATTCGTGGATTGCATAACTCTCCTTTTAAGGACTTGATGATATGAAGAATGTTTTATCCAGACCTCCACAATTTAATGCATTCTTGTTAAAAAGCGGCGCTACTCGTCTTTAATGAGTACATTCATATGACAAGTTGCTAATATTGTACTTCTTTGATGCTTGGTTGTCCCAGAAAGTTTTGGCCGCTCATGGTGCATCAAAAGTTAGCGCTTATGTGACTCATGGAATTTTCCCAAAGCGGTCATGGGAGCGTTTTCTCCACAAGAACGACGGTAAATCTTTGAATTTGTATCCGCCTGCCTTTTAGTTAAGCATCTCCTTTACCGGGTTTCTGACTGTTACCAATGTTTTTGTTGTCAAGGTTCAGAGAAAGCATTCACTTACTTTTGGACCACAGATTCATGTCCTCATACTGTGAAAGTTGTCTAATCAAGCTCCGTTTGAAGTTATCAGTTTGGCAGGATCAATAGCTGATGCTCTTCAAATCTGAGAACCTTAGACAGGATCATTTATAGTGGAAGAGTGTTGAAAAACTTGTTCGCTGACATGTTGTAAGGGAACTTATAAGTTGGAATTGCTGAGACATTTCCTGTTGTAATGGGAAACTTGCCTTGTTGCTTACCTTTGCCAACTGATTTCCTAATGAACAGGCAGAGTATGCTTGCGCTATATATTATGCATATGCATGGTCTTAGAAAAATATGTTCTTATCAACACTGTAGCCAACATCAAATTACAAGGATACAATAGTTTCTTAGCAGTGGGGTGAATCAGAAGTCAGATTTCTTTACATATACAATTAATTTTGCTTTTGTTCGTTAGAGCATAAACGCGTAATATTGTCCTATTCAAAGACGGATATAGTGCAGTTCATCAAGTTTAACTAAACTTATTGCTTTTGTCTAGAATCAGGTGTATATTAATTTTTTGATTGTCTTTTCCTATGACCCCAGAGCAAAGTGGCACATCAAATATATATACAATCAAACCTCTCTAGAACAACCTCGTTTGTTCCGAATATACTTAAATGTTATAGCGAAGTGTTGTTATAGAGAAAGTGAAGTGTTGTTATATGAGGATGTTGTTATAGAGAGGTATGACTGCATATAGCAGACAACACAAATAGCCATACAAAATATATGTGCCTCATTTTACACCATAAGTTTAAAAGTCTTTTCTTTTTTGCTTAAACTTCGTACCCAGTCAAATAGATTCACATAAATTGAAACAGTGGGAGTATTTTTTACCATCCATTTCCATGAAGGGTCGTCGTTGGAATGCAATTTACTTGTTGGTGAACATACACAAGATTTTCTTCTATGCTTCTATGTTCTTAACAGTACTTTGCTTTCGGTATCCCCTCTTGAGCCCTTTACAACAACCAAAAGAAGGGACAAGGTTTCTTTCTTCTTCTAACAAACCATAACAAATCAATCAACTAAGCCTCAATACTAAACTAGTTGAAATCAATAATATACATTTCCTATGCATCCTGCTCTTTAGATCATTATTATTAATCGTATGTCGTTTGCTTCCGTTATCTTATTATCTTCTTCTTGGCCGAAGGTCTATCAGAAACAGTTTGTCTCTACCTTCACTAGATAGGAGTAAGGTCTACACATTACCCTCCCCAGACACCATTTGTGAGATTACACATGGTTTTTTGTTGTTGTCCTATATATCCTGCTCTAACATCTATTCCTGTGAGGATTCAGCACATGTAACTATCTTTAGGCAGACCATTTACCACAATAATGTTATAACATTGGTTTCCGGAAACAACAGAAGTTAGCTACTTTCAGAAAAAATACTTACCCCATCCTTTGGAAAAAGAAGGCATCATTTAAACCACAAATGTGATAAATACAACAGTAGGAAGTCATTACATGATTCAAGAAATAATGCAGGGTCTGTTAATCTCCATCCTATACACTTATGAAACAGCCCAAGTATAAAAAAGTATGCATTAATTAGGTAAGAGAATCCCACCACAACAAGAGGCATAATAGCCAAAAAGTAAAAATAGGAAGGAGAAATCCTGCATTGCTGCAACTAGCAAAGCATATCAGCTGAGGAACTTCACACTTTGGCTGAATGCTTAAACCTTATTTTACTCCCCTTTGTTAAATAGATCATCAATTGTGTCATCATTCTACATATAAACAAAATGCTCTCTGCCTCGGCAACAATTCGGCTTACATGCTCTAGAGTGTCTTTCATCCAAAAAGTAGACACTACTAGCATACACAAGTAACTATATGCAATTTCATGGCTTCCTTGAGAAATTATGTACTCGAATTTCTATTCACAGTTAGAACTCACTGCCACCATTTATGAATAAAGTCAGCCGCTTCCAGTGAATATCTCCGGCTTCCCATCGAGACTACCCTTTGGGCTATCAAGAGAATCTCCCGAATAGGATCCATCAGGCCGACGAATACAAATATTAAGATTGCTCGATGGCAAAGTTTCCTGACGAACCAAAAAAAGTAATCAGCGATGTCAGTTTAACTATGGATATAACATCATGTTATTACACCTCAAACAAGGCAGTTTTTCGGTTATACAAAGATAAACTATACTCTTGTCTAAGCTACCTGATCAGCTGCATCTTGGCCCTCTGACTGGAAAAGAATTGGTCGGCACCGTTTGTCTTCATTCATTAAGCTTGAGTTCTGGAAGTGAGTAACCAGAGCTACCTTTCCCTGGATACGTGCATAAGCCAACGTCGCAACTTTTTCACTGTTAAACTTTTCCCACTTCTTCCCATTGAATACCTGCACAAGTGTCTGAGGTTATAAGGCCATTCTAAAATATTTAGAACCTCCAGATAAGATACGAACGCGCAAGTTTTTTAGTCTGAACGAGGGAGATACACCACATTCAACTAATTCATATGAAAATGGTTCCAAATATTTTCACCCGATAAATTTGTGGTTATTAAACAACAAAGAACTATATAACAACAAAGAACTCTAACCTCATAAAAGGAGACAATATGTGCAGGAGACACCATGTTGATGAAGGCATAACCAACATTACATTTATTCTGAAGCAGCAAAACAGTGAAACAATCAGTTCTACTTTCAGTATAATGTTATATACAAGTCACTCAAAAGGTCTACCCTCCCTCCATAAATTTATCGAAAAATGTAAACAAAGGAAAGAAATATACTACCTTGAAATCAATTGGCAAATAGAGGAAATCGTATGTATTCTTATGAGTCTCATCAATTGCTGCAAGTAGCATCTTCGACGTGTATCTTAAATGAAGAAGAAAAACACAAAAGAGAGAGTGTAAAAAATCTTAACAAAAAGCACATATTTCTGATTTATAATTTCGATAGTTCTTACTTGTTTGGGATGTTCTTAATCATCAAAGTGGTCCTAGTATCTTCTCCTCTCCTGATCTTCTCCAGATCAAGCTGATACTGTTTCTTGTTGTCAATCTGATTACCACTCTCAATTTTCCGACTTCGACCACGTTCAATTAGTCCTTCGCCGTTAACTGTTCCTAGTCCTCCGTAAGAGCCATTTCCGGAAAATATAGGTCCATTCCTTGTCAATGGCATCATTCTAGAGCTAGGAGAACCACTGTCAGTAAAGTTCCCAGCGAGATCAACACCCATGTTCATCGCTCCAAGGGAACCTATATTCATAACCTGACTTCCATTGTTATGAGTAGAACCTCCGCTTCCAAATACAAGTGGGTTTACATATGATGTCTGAGGAGATTCCGGGAAACCAAAATGCCTTTCCAGAGGAATTCCAGATGGAGCAGACCCCACGTGATGTGATCCGAGGAAAGAACCTTGCCTACGTGAATGGAGATAGCCTTGTCCTTGTCCATTTGATGCAAATGGAGGATGTGCCATTGATGACGTTGGCCAGATAGAAGAGTCGGTACGCTCCGACTGAATAGGGGGACTACCCCACAGAAACTGTGGACCGGAAAGTGTTGCAGTACCAGATGGCTTAGAGTAGTTACCAAATGGCATAGATCCCATGCCTGAAGCTGGATTCCTCTCCGGGACTGAAAAAGAATGCTGATAATTACCCACTCCTTGCGCCAACTTTGGACTAGTAGTTACCTGATTCAAATGGCCAATCCTTCCGGTATCTTTACCGATAGGTGCAATCTTCGGACTTGAGAGGTGTCCAGGAAGAATAGAGGCCAGCCCTGGCATAAGATTACCATTTACAGGGCTGAGATTTCTCAGACCAGGTGATTGACTATAACCTCGCAAAGGGTTGGGTTCAACAGGACTGCCGAAGTTTGACCAGCTGCCTGTTGAATATATAACACCATTATCAGGATAGACTCTCCAAGGTTAACATCAGCAGTTATGTTACTTATTCAAAAAAAAAGAATTTTAAAAAAATGCATTTATTACATCAATGGAAATACCTGGAGGAGAGCTGGCCACCGGAGAACCAACTGAGTGCCTAAATGTTCGAATTTCATCGCTTTCCAGTTCTTGACTTAGTTGCTGCATCAAACTAGACATGCAAAAAAAATTATTTTTCTTCCAAACTGGTCAAAAACTTGCATAATAGATCACATCCATCTGAATGATGCAACACGCTTTTTTCCTGATCCAAGCAAATTAATCAGCCTCTACAGATGGAAAGTGATGATGACAGGTTTCTCGGAGAAAGGATAGGCTGGGAAATCCACTAATGCATCTCTGAGACGTTCTCTAGATGTATCCGATTAACACTCAACAGCTATTTGTACATTCAAAGCGAATTTTAACCCCCCCCCCCCCC